ACTTTAAAGTATGATAATAAATGAACATTTAAAAGTTTTTAATCTTGATAGTGATCTAAAACAGATTTTTTAAAGCTACCGAATGAGCTTATTAGCCCTATGTGGTGTAAGAGGTTGTTCTTCAGAAATCCTTTAAAATCACTGAAACATAAATGTGCTATTAAAATTAAGTTTAAGAAGAATATGTTAAATTGGAAACTAGGACAGGGAAGCAATATTTTGCATGTACCTTTCTCACATACAGGCACACCTGACAGAGATTCACATAGTAAGAATAGAGAATTTGATACTCCAGGACTAACCTTAAGCAGGTATGAATTGGTATCCATCTGTGGACTACAATGGAATTGTCTTGTTGAATAGTTTTAAACATCTTAACTATCTACATAAAAGCTCATTAATTGTTTAAGCCCAGAAGGACTGTGTGCTGTTTATTTCCCTGAAATAAAGCAGATATTGATCAACTAAAGAGAATAATGGAAGTCGTGGGCACACCCAGCTCTGAACTTCTGAAGAAGATCTCATCAGAACATGTGAGTTCACCACTTCGTTCGGGTAATTGTTTGGCATTGTATGTCACCATTTGCGTTGCACAAGTACTCTGACTTGGAAGTGGGAAAACACTTCAAAGTGATGTGGGGTTTTTTTGCTGCTAGAATGGCATGATTTAAAAAATATTCTTTCTAGAGGTATCCAAATGCCTTGACTGCAGCTGGGTTAATTTTGATACTTGTTCTCATGTACTCGGTTTTTGAAAGGAGTTTTGCAGTTGGTCCTGATGATCTTTTATTTTACTGCTGTAGTTGCAATAACAAAATTCAAACTAATGCTCAGCTCAGAGCATTATATTGTTGTTATTAAGATATCTCTTTAATTTTTATACTCTTGATTGTTGTAATCAAGTTGTTGTATCAGTGTCAAATAATGTGTGATCTGCATCAGTGCTGTCATATGGATTCCTAATTTGAAATTCATATTTATTAATTTCTTACAATGTTTGTGTGAGGTCCACTTCCATGATAATGTCTGTAGTTAACGGTATGATTTTTAACTCTCCACGTGACTTCTTTAAGATAGTAATCTAGAAAGAATAATTTCCACTTTGTTTCTCTGCTAAAGCTACACTTAAAGAATTTTCAGCAATAGCCATGGATATCCAGCTGAGGATTGAGATGTGATATTGATTGATAAATGCAGGGTGAAGGGCACAGTGTAAAAATTCAGATAAACAACAGCACACAGATAGCTCCTGAGCTGGTGCTCTTTTCTTAAACCTTTTCTGTATACACCTCAGTCTAACACTAATGGCTATTTTTCAGCTTGTGTGTGTATTTATTGGCTTTCCTTGAACTTACTAATGAATACACTAGCAGGTTATGTAAGCAGGAACAGTAGATGAGCAAGAGCAAACAACACTGGGAGGTCCAAGCATAACAAAACCTCATCAGTGCAGGCCAAACATAGATTCTTGTATAGCCTTTATGTATTTTTAAGAGCCTACATTTTTTGCAGTAACCCATTCAGGGTAGTGCATACATAGGTGACTTACGCACAGCTAGCCAGTTTGTAGACTTTTTGATTATGAGATTAAACACCTTAAATATTTACTGGAGATAGTATCTGCTTTGGTCTCTAATTTCTTGTGTTTTGGAGTGTACCTCAGTGAGCTGCAGGAATCACAAAACAGTTTTATTGGGACTAATAATACCTTTAGAGCATAGGGAGAACACAAAAACCAAATTAATGAATGGGAGTGCTGTGAGGACGCCTCTGGGCTGCTGCTGCCTGGCCAGAGGCATTTGCAGAGGAGCAATGACAAAGGAGATCTTTACCTTGCTTGGAGGCACTTGCCTCTTGCAAGGGAGTGTCTATTCTATTCTCTCATTCTAGTTGTTCTTTACCTTGCAGTTTGTCCTTATTCTTTAGATATTTCTTAATGTAGCTTGCAGTCTATTACATTTTCTTCTGGTCCTCTAACAGCAAGGTCAGAGGGTTTCAGTTATAAGCAGAGGATTAAAGAATTGGAAACTAAAAGATCAACCTCATGGGATGTTTCAGCACAAGTTACTGAGCTGATTTGTCAGTCTTTCATGTTAATATAGGTTTCAACGTTGATTGCATTTCATTAGTTTCAGAATAATTTAAAAGTCTGGATTCTATTGGTTGGGTTTCTGTGATGAATATATAAGCAGAGGGGACAGCTTGGTATACTTTGACACGTCTGTGTAATTTTCAAAGGACTTTTGAACAGGATTTGAGATAATTTTGACCATATCTTGTTCAGTCGTAGTTGAATTAGGATTAGTGGTGTTAACTGATGTCCATACAGAAACAAATAATCCACAAATCCACAGATGTTTGTCACAAGATAAATTTACCTTTTGTTTCTACCCTGGTCTGTAGCTTCCATGCAAGAATGTGTAACAGCTTTCTTTTGCTCTGCTGTTCATACATATGTATAAACTAATGCCTTGGAAGACTTAACTTTGATAGGAGCTGCACACCCTGACCTTCTAGCAGGTGTTTGCTGCCTTTATGAACTTTCGGGGCATAAAATATGTGGATTGAAGCCCATGTTTGACTAGTCTTCAAACATTGTTCTCTGCATGGCTGTCTACAGCTGCTAAGAAAAAAACAGTCCTCTTAGAAAGCCTTGCTGTCAGCCTTCATAATAAAAAGGGAAACTGCTAATGTAGTTTTAACAGGTTGGGGACATACCGCATGAAGTTTACTTCCTTGGATTCATTCAGTAAGACTGAAATGTGTCAGTAATGGTAGTCTAGAGTTATGTTAGAACATACAGCTTATAAAAGGCAGAAAAAAACCCCAAATCTGCTTCATTAAATTCAAACACAATTTGAAAAGAGGCTGCTATATAATTATTTAAAATATCTTTACATCAGTTCATTGTAGCTGCAGAAATTAAGATGATGGCAGAAAGAACTGCGTAGAGAACAGGATTTGTTTCCGAAGTGTGGCTGTAGGATTCACAGATGATATGTCAGAGTATTTTATTGTTGCTTCATGATATACTGAGCTGATCGGTCCTGAAGACAGTTCCACAGTTCTCAGTCTGATGTCTCACTTGAAGCCATGGAGCTGCTCAGTGTGAACAACTTGATTTTCTCTGCTATCTGCAGCAGGCCAAGGATGCTTAGATAGCAGCCTGCAGATAGTCTCCTTCTAACAGGACTGCTAAGTGTGCAGGGGGATGTCCCTGTAACACAAACGTGTTTTAAAAGGATCAAGGTTTGTTTGAAGACCAGCTGGGTTTTCTATGGATTTGGGGACGGCCTTTTGCCTCTTTAACTGTTCCATTTCAGACTCCCTGTTCTGTCCAATCCCAGCCTTTAGGACCAGCACTCGACCTCTTCTCTTGTTGATAAACATCTACCTCATCCCACACATTCATGGCTCACATAATCTCAGGTTCCACGATGACACTGTGAGTCCAATACCAGGGCAGCCCTTTCCTAGCTGAGCTTGGATGAGCCTTTCACAGCCACAGTGGCAAGGCAAGCTATAAAGTCTGTTAAACATCTGCAAATCTGCACCCTGGGAGTATCAGGATTTGTTTTTTTGGTCAGTGAAGCTACTGTTCAACAGAGGAGAGAGAGGAAGGAAGGACACAGATTGGATTATACCACTTTGCTGAGGGTAACCGAAAGATGATTTAGGTTGTGATTTCCAGCTGAACGATACCTGCGTGTGTGGGTGGGTATATACTGCAATAAGCCAGTAAGCAGAGGTCAAAATATAAGTGCTAACACGTAACACTTAGAGGGAAATATACCTGTTCAAAACTCTCTTGCTTATTGTGCAATATACAGGAGTGACTGTTTAAAACAAAGCTGTGCATGATGGTTTTATGTTAAAAAAATTTTCCTGTGTATAAGAAACATAACAAATATGACATCTGTTTTTTTAGAGCTGATATGGTTACTGTTGGGCAAAATTTAACTTCTGTGCATGCTGTATGTATATTGATTTATTCCTAGGCAAGAAAATACATTGAATCACTTCCACATATGCCTCAACAGGATTTGAAAGCAGTATTTCGTGGTGCCAATCCATTAGGTAAGAAAGTCAGACTGATATAGTTTAAATCTTTCATTAACATAGGAACTCAAGCCTTCCTTTGCTGTATGATCCCATATAGTAATGATCAGACCAGTGAGAAGAGCATTGCTTAACCTGCCATCCTGAGACTCATTTCCCTTCATGAAGCCTGTGGATTTTGTTTCTCATGGAGATTACAGGAACGTCCTAAAGGAAAATGGTCCATGGATGAAAAGCAAAAGCCAGCTATACATATATAGCAGGAATAAATAAAAGTGTCTCAGGGTCTCTACTGGAGACATCACTTCTGGCTCAGGAAGGCCCCGAGCTGTAAATTGCTGGCGAGCAGAAGAATATACCAGGAAGTATAGCTGTTTGAAAGACCCTTTTGAGTATCATTTCCTAGGAATGTATGAGCCATTTTCGGACACAGGATACCAGGCTAGACAGACCTTTGGTCTGATCTCGCACAATTGTTTTTATGTCTAACCAGTTGGTTCTGCCTCTGCAAAAGAGCTGTTTCTGTGAACCACTTTTTGTGACATGGCAGAGGAGATATTTGAGTCACTGGAGTCATCTACTACAGTGCCTGGCCAGTTCCATCGAGTGCACATTAAAACATTGTATACAGGGATGTATTATGTGTTAAAATGTTTTAATTTGCTGTGTGTATTATAAGACAATTTTAAGTTACAAATAAGAGTAGCTGTGAACACTTTCTTATAAAAAATGGGATTTATTTGCATGAGGTACATGATAGCATGCTACGTATTAATATCATGAAGGCAAATTAATGATTATGCTTATATGAAAGCATATGAAATAATGATGCTTGTATGAAAATAGTAATGATAAACTTTGCATATAAAACCAATTTTAGCCTTACAGATATATCTCATTTCTAATATTCTGCAGCTGTTGTCTCCAAACATAATTCCTTTATACTGGGTCCTGTAAAGTTACTTTGGGCTTTTAATCTCATTATTTAATTGGTGCAGCTAATTAAACGTGTAATCTCACATCCACAATTTTAAGTTACTTAAGTTTGCACTGATCAGGACCGAGTTAAGCACATGATGCACAACACAGGATATTTAACTTCCATGAACACAGAGATCTTTTCAGAATGAAGGCCTTAGATGTCTGAAGAGGTGAATCAGATATCAAATAGACCATAATGAAATTGTGTGCATATCACAAGCAAACCAGAAGCTTCCTTCAGCTCTGAAAATTGTACTCAGTATAAAATCTTCAAAACTTATTTCTTTTATTGCCTAATTTTTGTGGTTTTGCCAATAATGTTAACTGTGTTTAAGGTGAGTGAGAATAGATTGTATCTCAACAGTTGCTTTCTCTTTTACTTCTACATGGTCTCTTCTGGCTTTGAACTGCATTTCTCTTTTTCCCTTAGCTGTAGATCTTCTTGAGAAGATGCTGATATTAGACAGCGATAAAAGAATCACTGCCTCGGAAGCACTTGCACATCCATACTTTGTACAGTATCACGATCCGGACGATGAACCTGAGGCCGAGCTGTACGATGAGTCAATAGAGAATAAGGAGCGAACCATAGACGAATGGAAAGGTAACAGAATTGCATATGGTAGTTAATACATGCAGCGGAATAAAACCTTAAATAACAGTTTTCCTCTGTTTCTAACCAGAGCAATCTGAACTCTTAAGCCTCAGGGAAATAAGATAAGTCCACGTGTGTGCTCGTGGGAGTGGAGGTGCGGAAAGGGTTGTGTTTCCTCTCTGGATTTTACTTCCCCATTCTGTCATCTCCTCACTAAATCCCCTACAGCAGATTTAATCTTAACTAAAAGCTGATGCTAGTCACCAGGTAACCACACATTCTGTCTTGCTTTTAGTTTTCTAGGACAGATCCTCAGCTGAAGTAACTGTACTAGGGCGAGTAGCACTATTTGCGATTCTGGTCTAGCTTTGTTCAGAACCAGAAATGTTTTCCACATAGATGTGTATTTTGTTAATCATTTTTAGATAGGCAAGTAATTAGGATTAATAGATAAACCATGCTATTGATCCTGCTTGAGATGAGAGATGATGATTTTACTTGGGAGTGACACCCCAAACCCAATCCTTGAGAAATACTGCGACAACCTTTTTTTTATTAGTTAATTCCATGCTTGCATCATGATCATATTGCACTACAGTACCACGGAAGTAAGGTGGTTAAACTTTTAATTTTACAAGTACACTGAAAAGTACAGTCCAATTTCATCATTGTCTAATAAGGACATGTTATGCTAAAAATTCCTTACTAGATATTTTAAATTTAGAGTAACGTGGTAGAAAACTAATTGTTCTTGTTTATCAATAAAGTCCCTTCCTTGGCTTAAGTTGAAATACATATTTTAAAAAAAAATGTTCTTTTGTTACTGTTGATATATTCTATAACTTTTACTCCAGAAAAGTCTGATTAAAAGGTATTAGCATAGCAGGTAGGTTTATGATGAAAAATACTGACCTTCAACGTCTTATTCATGCCCTTCCATGTTTTATCCTGGGCATTGCAGGGGAGACAGGCACACTGACTACAGCAAATACATCTTCAAGAAAGATAGGAGCGGGGTCATGGGTCTCTCTACAACGAGGTAACCTCCTAGAGCCCTAAAAAAGGGTTTTCTAGAAGACAGCTGCATCTGTAAAAATAAGAGGATTTACTGATACCTCTTACTCCTTACACGTGCTCTCCTCTGCAAAACCTGGCAGCATACAGCACCGCCCATACATCTTGGTTATCAGGAGGCATGTTCAATTTGCTGCTGTACTTACCAGTGGGTGATTTGTTTTCTGCCACTTTTTCAGTTGACTGGGTCTTTAACGGAAAAGTTTAACAATTTCCGAGTCACGAAGCTGATTTCTGTTTGTGATGAAACTCCGTTGAAATTATTTCAGGAACAATCTTAGCTTAACGCTTTCTGAACTGAAATGAGAGTGTGGAGGTGAATTTTCTAGGAAGGACAGTATCATAATTTTCTACATTGCTGTCCTTGCTGAAACTGTAGGTCAAATTCCTCCTTTACACAGGCAGAAAAAAAAATAGCCTGAGACAAAACTCTTAAAACTGGCACAGGACACGCAGCTCATTCTCCTGGCCATATTTTTATCTTGGGGAATAAACTTTTTATTTTCAAGTATAGTATGTACCACGTTTAAGTAAGATGACCTGCAAGGTGACCATTTGCATAAAATATTTCTATTGTTGATGAAATATCGACCCAGTTTCTCAAGATGTCAATGACTTATTTCCCCTCTTTTTCTGTTAAAATTAAAAATCAGTGGCGCTTGATCCCAAGAGGGACTGAACACCAAAGTAAAATGAGATTTCAGGTACTTTGTCTTACGCGTTATGCACTTTAGAGTTTCCTTGGCCTCCATTGCACACTGCTGAGCCTTGCAGCCCAAGCTTATAGATTTCTTTCTGACATGTTTAATCAGTTAGAAAATATTTCAGAATCGTAGAGGCCAAGAGTTGAATGCTATGCCCTGTCTCTCCTTATCTATTGCTGTACTTACACACATCTCAGCGTAACATCTGTACTCTGCTGAGTCGGTGGCATGAGAACCAGGTAAGAAGCTTCATAAACATACAGTGCACAGCCAGAAGGGATAATTTCTGATACAGACCATTTCTAATTGGACCGTAGGTGCCCAATTTGTGAGGTTGCAGACTTCCTCCGAGTTCAGACACAACCACTCCAGCTCCTATCTGGCTGCCTGTGACCAGGTGCTACTTAATAGCCCAAGTCAATCACTGGGAGAGTCACCTAATGACTCCTTGCACCTCAGGGGTTCTGCACACAGGATTTCTTTCAAAGAAATCCTTCACTGAAGCTGGCATGCTGGGCACCGTACACCATGACACAGTGTAACGCAACCACAGTGTAAGCAACATTCAGCCTGAAGACTTTTACTTACTTTCTAGAGGAGTGCGAGGTCTACCTTCAGCCATCTTGGACAGATCTATTTAATAAACAGACTAATAGGCACAAGTTTGATAAAATTTAAATATCTGTGTTTGGAAAACAGACCCTGAAGTGATGCACTGTTAGCCATATATTCATGTGTGAATTTGGATTTGGTCCTTAAAATACAATATCTAACTTGAGAAAATATATAGGAGGTAGCTGCTGCTGACATCTTCCATTGCTGTGCAAGGCACAAAACAGGACACGACTGTCAGCATGAAAGGATAAAGGGCTGTTCTTAAAGCAGAGTAAAGCAGCAAAGAATCCATGTTTCTATTTAAGCCTTTTTTGATGAAAATAGAACTGTTACATGCTTCTAGGACAAAAAAAAATCAGAGGACATTAAAATTCAGTTATTTACAATAAGATTTAAAAAACCCCAACAAAACCTGGATCCCAAGGCATTAGCACAGAATTGCGAGTGATTTATGTTGAAGGCAATTGACTGAGAAATGATAAAGAACATTCTCCGCAGTTAACAGTGTACATTTTAAAACCTGTTTGGGTGCTTTTAAAGATTCCATTTTTCCATTACATTTTGTCTTTTATTATGTCATTTTGGCAGGTCACCTGACAGCATAATTGATGTTTCCATTTCAGGGCCTTAGTGTTTTAGTAATTAGCTGAAGGGGACAGACACGTTGTACAATAACAGTATTTGTGAGTCTAATTTGTAATCTGAGGTTAACAGAAGGATTCCTGGTGAGATCAGTCTGGTTTTGGATCTGGACACTAAAAAAAGGCTGGAAATACAAACTACAAGTCACACGCATCCATAGGACTGTTTTGTCTGGAATATTTTTCTTTTGCAGAGAATCTCACCTAATTCTTCTCTCCCTTACAGAACTCACCTATGAAGAAGTGGTTAGCTTTAAACCCCCCGACTTAAAAATGGATAGCCTGGAGATAGAACAGTGAAACAGGCAGCTCTGTCTTGCCTTGCTGCACTATGAAGACTGTTAAAATGTAACCATACAATTTAACCTGTGGTCAGGTGTAGATTTTACTATCCAAAGATGCTGGAGAAGATGTGGGAAAGCAGATGCATTATACAGAAGCCAGATGTTGTCTGTTTTGGGTGAGGGGTTTTTTGCCTTGTGATATGAATGTATTCCCAGCTCACAAAGAGTGATAAAGAACTGCTTCATTCTGACAAAATTATGCACTGAGTTCCTTCGAGCTGTGTGTTCTGCATGTGTCATTTTATCAGTTGTATTGCCAAAATAAAGGTGACTTTTAAAATTAATTTTAAAACTGTACATTTAAAGCATGAATGTATACAAACATAAACATAGAAGTCCATACAGGCAATCCATTTTTTTTCCTGGCATATTATCTGTCCGTTTTCATATTATTTATAGTTAGTGCCTTTATGAAGAGAGGGCGCGGTAGTGAGATAGACAGAATATGCATTTGTAGTCATATCTGTGGTGGTCTTACAAACTTACTCGATGTCTCTCAAGCAATCTTAACACCAGTTGAAAGTCCATAAAAATAAATCTTTGTCTTCTGTTGCCATTCAAGTGTTTGTTCTCATTATTTTCCCCCTGTGTAATATTTTAATCTGCACAGTACCCGTTTGTGAGATGATTTTGCTTCCTGATGGTCCTCCTAACCATGCTGTCGGTGGAGTGCTGGTGAATTTGCCTGAGTTTACAGGAAGGTGCCCTGAGGGTACTGCATCCGATCTCTCCAGTCTTCTGCATGCTTCAGCAAAGGCTGTCACAGATGGCAGAGCAAGAGGATTCAGTTCCATTCACAGCTTTGAATGAAATATTCTGCATTCTCTTAATTTCCTCCACATAATTCTTGGGGAAATAATCTAATAATTGCCATTGGAGGACATGACAAAACGAGAAGATTTAAGAATCTGTGAAAAACAAAATATCCATCTTACCAGTTTCTTTTTAAGCAAAATTTTAAAGGCTTTCCAGCTCTGAAAAGCTGGGAAAATAAATAATAAATTGCAGAATACACCAGATATCAAGATTTTTTTAAAGAATCAAATGTATCCGATTTCTCCATCAAAGGCATAATACTGCAACAGCCTTTGGCATGAGGCCTCTTGTGGTGTACTGGCTGCATCTTTCTACGTACTTGTGATTCACAGTTGTTCAGTGTTGTTCACTTTGCGTCTCATTCTTGCTCTGTCAGAGTCTCATTTCAGAGGTGGCTTTTTGTATTATTTAGGTTTTCTGCAACTTTTGTCATTAAGATTCATTTGTACAGCTATTACATGAGGTAATGAATTCTACTGCATTTATTTACCTTCCTCTATCTTTTCTATGTAAAAAGAAAAACTTTCTTAATAAACAGATTTTAAAAAATTACGTCCAAGAACTTTGATTTTTCAGAGATACTTAATGTTGTACCTTTTGTCTTCTTTGAGAAATAGAAATAAGCATTCCATCTAGAAAATGGGCTCCTAAGTGGTGCACTGTTGCTGATAACGTTGGGCAGTTATCTGATACTTGCATCCAGTGAAACAGAGCCACTTGTATTCAACATACTACGAGGTATATTAATCTCAAAGTAAATGCTTGCATGCGTTTCTTGTGAGCCCTCGAATGCATTGTCTGGCTCGCATTACGTTACTCTGGCTTCCTTCAAAGCTGGATGTGCCCTGTAATGTTCGTGCAGCAACTTTCTGACTTTCACACTGACTAAAATAGGTGAAAAGGTTGTTAAATCCTTAAATTATTTGCCTGACTGCATAATGAAAATAATAATTCAGCTTAAATATTTTTGTTTTCATTTGTTTGTTTACCAGTTAAGAGGAAAAAAAAAACTCAGTGGTTTATTTTCTCTGAAATCTGATAGCTAGCTTCTTAGCCTGTTCTACAGCTCCATTCCAGCTGGAAGGGCAAGGATGAAATAAAGATATTTCACAAGATCCTTCTGCATCCAACCATAATTAATTTAGTGTGGGATTTGTCCCATTATTCGTTTAATCTGGTTTCTTGGCTATGAGGGTGGCCATCGCCAGATGTTTCAAAGGATGTGTAAAACTGTGGTAGGCAAAGACCAGATGGTTTGCTCTTGCTGTAGCTCTGCGACTTAAGGTAGAAAGAAAGTTTTATATTACTTCCAAAATCTGTTTTTCTGGCACTTCTGAATCTTCTTTAACTGGATAGTTAAAATATCAAACAAAAAAATATATTTCCTTTTACATTCAAAGATGTATTTTTTCTAGAAGCTATGTTATGTCAGAAGAATACTGTAGCCACATTTAAACTAATGCAAGGTGACAGTAATGGGTAACAAGAGCTCGGCTATTTTTAATGAAATGCCATCAAAACCCATAAATAATCTCATTTTAATGTCAAGAAAAACAGTAGGGAGAGAGACATCCTTTTCCTAGAGTTGCAGAATGAACGCTATTTCTTGGACTTCAAATCCACTAATTAAAGTATTTTTCTAGAACAGGTAACCGACTCCCTTGCGGTAATCCAACAAGGGACTGCAGTGTGGTAAGTTTATCAGTTTGCACCAGCAGGACAAGGTAATTGGAAAGCCGGTACCCCACTGGGACTGAGAGGTGGAAGGCTTAGCACTAACAACGCTTATCGTTGGAGCACAGATAGAAAAAGCCATTTGTCAACCAGCACAAACAGGGACATGGAGGTAAGAGTGAGGGCTTTGTCAGGCTGGAAGACAGATCAGTTGAAAATAAATTTTAAAGAGTAAATAAATCTACATGGAAGGATATATTTTATATAAATGTATTCGCTAATGTTTACATGGCCCAGATTTTATTTGGAAAACTTGTAGTGGAGCCTGCTTAAACTGTGGGCTTTTCATCTGAAACTGCTCATACTCTACTTATTATGACTGTGGTTTCATAGGTCCTTTATACATTGCTCGTACATTTAAGAAAAGCGCTGTAGGTTTTAGCCCACAGTAAATTAGGGCTAAATTAGGGTGCTCCTCATCCCTGACCACTTGCAAAGCACAGAGGGGGTGTTCAGAGGAGTGCAGCTGGGTGACAGCAGCAGAAGAGGCAGCTCAGGCTCCCACTGAGGGAGGACACAGCTCTCCAGGGGCTTTCTCTGGTTAATTACTGTCATTGTTAACAATTTACCTCTAATCTGAATTTATGTAATTTCAGCTTTCAGTCACAAGAGCTTGTTATCCCTCCACCTACTGAATTGAAGTCATGTCTAGTATTTATTATCTCACTCTAATCAGTGTTAAGTGCAGCCCCAAATGTAATAATTTTATCTGCATTGGAAGCAAATGAACTTGCAAAAGGAAAAAAAGTCTTATATACACCTCCATCTTTTGATGTGCCTAAGTATACACTACACTTCTTTTAAAACTTGCATTTTTATTTTTGAAGCTCCCAACCTCATCAGCACTGAAGCCCAGCAGCAGGAAACTGATGCGCCACAGCCAAAGCAGAAATAAAGACTAGAATAAAGAACTCCTTAATTCACAATGTGTTAAGGGAAAGAAAAGCCTAGGATGGTTCAGAGGAAAAGCACAGCGCTAGAGGATATCACTTGCCATAATACACATAATTCCCTTCTCCCAGAATATACAAAGCGGCTACACAAGTATGAAACATCAGCGTTACCAATAACTTTGGGAATTTATAAGAGGAAAAAATAGGAAATTAGACAATCAAGATATGTGAAAAAATGTATCAAGCAGCAGTAGGTCAACAGCCATTAATTAGACAGCACTGATGCAGAATTCCCATGAGTGCTCTTGGCGTGTTTTTGATGTGGTGCAAAAGATGAAAGCAAGAGGGAAGGAGGGTCAGAGCACTGCAGGATCCGACACAGCAAACTCACCCTAGGGACAGGAGTGGGACAACCCTTTCAAGGACAAAACGCTGGCAGCAAAGCACCTTCAGCAGAGGTGGGGAGCAGTCGATACAAAAGCCACTTCCTTCCTCTCTTCCCGTCACGTGTGCTCCTGGATCACACCAAGAAAACAGACCTCGACTGTTCTGACTCAAGACCTGGTCAAAGATGAATCTGTTCATAAAGTATCACACTCAGCCGCAAGCACAAATTGAGTATCCTTTGCTACATCTGTAAATTGCTGACTTGGCCCAAGAATCTCTGACAGATGAGCAGTGGTGAAGATTTAGCTCTTGCTAAAAGAGAATTGTGCTGTAAATTGGGTAAATTATGTCTTTTAGTAGCAGTGGAAAGGAATTGAGCATCGACAAGATCAGGCTCTTTAAGAAGGAATTAATAGCAACCCTTCTGTTTGCTTTAAAAGAAGCTGCTTGGTTCTCTTACACGTGAATCGTGCTGCTGGTGCTTAGGGATGTAGCACAACTCTCTAAGGCTGGTCCTTAGAAAATCAGTACGCTTGCACAAATGAGAGTAGCAAGTGTCATTAATTTATGAGTCCAGGCAAAAAGCGTAAGGGTTTTTATGGGACTAGTATCAAGAGACTCAGAAAGCTGCATTAGTGTAGCTGCCACTGACCTCCTTTCTGCTGAAAGATAAAATATTGAACTGATAGGCCTAAAAGGGTCTAAGTTTTCCCTATAAGGAGAGAATATATTGTGACTTTCCTAGCAAACACTGATCTTCCAACCAATCTGACACTTAATCCATTAGACGGGAAATTTCAACATAATGAGCGAAACTGTTCAATTAGGTTTCAGTCTTGCACGCATACAAATGCTTCAATTTGCACTCACATCGTCCCCCAGCATCAAATATTGTCACAAATTAAGATGTGCAGTGTAGCACAGAGACCTTTCAGAGTCCAATTTGATCACAAGTAATACTGAACACAGTAGAAATACTGAATCACAGTGGCAGCCCTGAGACAAATATACATTAAATCTGTCGTAACTGGCAGCCTCCATTGAGCCACACTTCGCTCCTTATAGAATAATATCCTGTAGATTAGCACTACGATAATATATTCCTATTTCAAATGCATTTTATAACAGAGCCTGAAGGCTCCAATCAAGAATAAACCCTAGTTATTTTATATTCTGTGGAAAAATAACACAGCGTACCTGTTCTGTCCAGCTCTCTCATTAGGTTGAGATGGAAATAAAACAAAACGAAAGCAACGCTAAGGAGGATAGGAAAGGGGGGGTGAGAGTACCGCTAAGTTTTTGGTGATTTAAACAGGTGATGTGCACAACTATGTAATGACAAATAAGTAAAGCTATCAGCAACATCTTTTAATGCCCTTTTTGTATTATTTGTGCATTGAAGTTGGGAAACTTCAACACAAGAGTATTTTTTTATCTGTGCGCAATATCAGATTGTGATAGTCTGTGATAGTTTAAAAACCAAACTCCTACAGTTTATTGTAGGAATTTGTTTGAAGAGGAC